TGTATCTTAAGCCTATCTTCTGGAGTTTGGGCTATTCCTGCCAGCTATTGGCTATTCCTTCCTTCCTTCCTTCCTTCCTTCCTTCCTTCCTTCCTTCCTTCCTTCCTTCCTTCCTTCCTTCCTTCCTTCCTTCCTTCCTTCCCTCAGTTCTAATGCACTTTCCCAAAGAGCATTCAAAGAAATGTTTGATGAAAAGGAGTTAAACTTGAAACGACAATGAAGAATTGCAAATCAATTGCCAACGCCATTCCCCCACAAAAATCAATAAATTTACTAGAGTAATCAATTAAAATTCTGTTCCATGTTCAATAACAGAAAGTGCTGTGGCTTCAGAACAAGAAAAAGAAAATTATTTCTCAAGCTATGCAGAATGTATTCTGCTTCAGTGTGGAGTGATGGAAGAAGCTGTACAGAAACCAGAAATATATTTTACAACTTTTCTATGTTTCTGTAACTGTGAACTGATTGATGATGTTCCTCTCTATAAATAGGTTTTTTTAAATAATTTATTTCATCCCATATCAACAATCTTATTTTTTAATATACAGTAAACTAAACCTGGTAAAGAAAATGATATGTACCTGGAGAAACAAATCTATCATGTTTACAAATCTATCTGTATTTTCACACCTCTGTTTATACCCTGCCAAACAAAACTTGGTTAAATATATCATATGTCTAACTGACTTATGTGTTTATCCTGTTTATTATGTGTTTAAATACTGTTTATTAAAATTTTGAAAAAGAATGGCAAGGAATATTCTAAGATCTAACTATATACAGAGGGAGAAAGGAATCTGAAAAATAATTTTATAAAAAATAAATAATCATTTCTCTGAATAGATTCCATTGCTGACACATTTAAAAACAGTTTGAGAGCCAGTTTGATGTAGTAGTGAAGGTGCTGGCCTAGAAACCAGGAGACTGTGAGTTCTAGTCCTGCCTTAGGCATGAAAGTCTGGTGGGTGACTTGGGCCCAGTCAGCTCATAGAATTTTTGCTGTGGGGAAAATGGGAGGAGTATTAGATATGTTTTTCTCCTTGAATTACGTATTAAAAAGATGTGATAGAAATAATAACGTGAGACCACAAAATAGACAAAGTAATAGAAAATGAAAAAGCAAATGTGCTGTAGGACTTTAGACTTCAAAAAGAAAAGCATCGGCTACATAACATCCCAGACTTAACAATTGTTGATAAAAAAACCCAAAATAGATAGTGGATATTGCAATCCCAAAACAACTGGAATACCACATGGATATAATCAGCACTGAAAAAACCCATCATCAGTCAAATGCAAAAGACAGCTTTATTTAGAATAGTTTACATCCTGGGACAATACTTTTAATACCATTAAACATCAACATCTGCCTATCCCAGGTCCTTGGGAAGGACTCGATTGGTGGGTAAAAATGCCAGATCCAGTTTGAACATCTGGCTGACTGTGTGATCAATCATAATAATTAAATAAAATGCATTTTGAAGTTGTTTTTATGAATTGTTGAATATTATGACTGCATAGGACCTTGGAGTTGAACTATAGAAGGTGCCTTAAAAAGCACAAAAGAGCAAATGTACCAAAGTGTGCATAATTTTTTGATAATCACAACCCCAAATGTACTATTGTTCATGAACAAAACACTTCTGACAGGCTACAAAAGACAGTCTCTGTGAAGAATTAAGGTAGTTTTTGTATTACAGAGAAAGAAGGACATTTTATAGATGGTCGGCCTTTTCTCCTTAGAATTTCTGAGTGTAGTAATTTGACTCATAGAATAAAGGAAGACACAAATTTTCCCAATGAGTTAAAAAACAGTTGGATGAATGGTCTGATACAATACATGAAACTGATTTTAAAACGGAACAATAGAGCTGACAACGCTACGAACCACTTGCTATCACTGCTGGAGAAATCTAACAAAAGGGTTAGATTTGTAAGCATTTACTGGATCTGTGATGTCTGGAACATAGTTTCAAATGATTAGAATCATTTGTACACTGAGCAACAGAAACACTAAGAGAACAAAGAACATACAAGTATAACAAAAAACAACAGATGCATTATTAAGTTACTTAGGACTCCCCCCCCTCCTTATGTACTTTCAAACTTTTATACAGAGAACAGGAGAAAAAGGGTGAGAAAAGACTCTTCTCATTTTCTTGGGCCAGTCTCTACAATACATCATATTTACACTTTCACCAGAGTTTGGTGAAAGTGTAAATATTACACTTAGTCTTTTTTGTATTTGAAGTTCTCAATTTTAAATCAACACAATTTCTACTCTTTCTTATGGTCCATATTATTAATATAAAGAATTTCATTAAAATTTCCCATCAGTTGATAATTTAAGCAAGGTTGCTGCATTAAAAAATTCAGGGGGGGGGGGGAAGGAGGGAGAGCACAGTCGTTTCTCTACAAGATTTGTTGATCTAAATCAGTGTTTTTCAAACCTGGCAATTTTAAAGGGTATGGACCTCAACTTCCAGAATTTCCTAGCCAGCATGCTAGGAAACCTTGAGTATTTGTGGGAAAGCAATTTTTTGAAACTGAAGTTATAAATAAACAATACATTTATTTTATAAACAAAGGAGTGGGCCAACCATCTCACTACTTTAAAATTGCCAAAATTCCATGGAGCTCACCTTAATGTATCTCCATCTGCTTTGCCAACAGCCTGGATCCTCCATAGGTTCCTCTGTATTAGGAATGGACATCTTTGTGTGGGCCAAGTGCTAGCTCTATTGCTTCATTATGAATATTGCATTGAGTACACTAATTGTACTTTTCTAATAAAAAAAAAAATCTAGGTTGTCCACACTAATGCTGTTCTACTACTATCCTACTATCTACTTCTACTACTATCTACTATTATCCTATAGTAAGTACTAAGAGCTATGAATGCAGCATTGCAGGCTAATTTGGCCGGCTGCCAGCTGTCAGCAGTTTGGCAGTTCAATTCTCACTGGCTCAAGATGGACTCAGACTTTCACCCTTTCAAAGCCAGTAAAATGAGGGCCCAGATTGTTGGGGAAAATATGCTGACTCTGTAAACCGCTTAGAGAGGGCTGTAAAGCGGTATATAAGTCTAAGTGCTATTGCTATTACATGCAATACAGATGGTCCTCGACAATTGGGACCAGATTTCTATTGCTAAACAAGAAAGTTGTTAAATGACACCTATATGATTTTGTGACTTTTTTTTTGCCATGGCTGTTAAATGAATCATTGCAGGTTATTAAATGAATTCAGCTTCCCCCATTTACTTTGCTTGTTGGAAGCTGGCTGGGAAGGTCACAAATGGAGATCATGTGAATCTGGGATGCTGTAACCATCGTAAATACATGTTGGATGCCAAGGGCCTGAATTCTGGGCACGTAACAATGGGGATGCTGTGATGGTCATAAGTGCAAGTCACTTTTTTCAATGCCATTGTAACTTTGAACAGTCACTAAATGGTGGTAAGTCAAAGACTACTTATATAATTAATTTTTATTTTGCATTAAAAGGTAAAAGCCAATGTACGAGAACGGAAAACTTTTATTTTTATAGCACTGTTCTTTTTGGCTACACACGATCCAGATACTGTTTGTGTGATCAGCGTCTGTATTTTGTGTCTTGTCCTTCAGGTTGCTGACCATTAACTGAAAGCGAAGGAGAAAGCTTAAGAGGGGAAGGACATCTTGCCTTGCTCGACTCCCCTAGTCAGTGATCCTCTTTTTTTTAAATCTGAAGCTGTGGGTTTCCCAAATAAAAGTACACTTAGCAACAACAACAAAAAGTATGTCTTTTGCAAAGCATTTCGTTCAAGGCTGAGTTCAGTGGGGTGGAGGGACTAAGTTGACTGCTCCTTAAACAGAAATGATTAGGGTTGCCAGGTGTCCACTATTTGAGTGGACAGTCCACTTTTTTCACATTATGTTCACTATTTTTTTCCACAAAATAGTGGACATTTTTTTAATTCAAAAGCTTTATGATGAAATGGTACGTAACCTAAAGCTGTACAGTCTACTTTTTTTTACTACTTAACCCCCCCCCCCCCGCTTGTCCGCTATTTTTTGGAAGCAGACCTGGCAACCCTAGAAATGAAGGGGAGGCAAAGGGGGACGCGGTTGAGCACGGGATATCTGGGGGCCGAGAGCAGCGGGAGGGGATGGGGGGGAGACCAAAAGACCCTCGCATCTGATTTATTTCACTTCGGTTAGGGACAGAACCGGGGCGCCATAAGAGGGGAGCCCAACAAGCAACTTTCTCTCGACTCTTCCTTCGCGCCTGCGGCTCCGCGCCCTCCTCCCTTGGCGCGCGCGCTCGCCGCTCCCCCCCCCCCCCCCCCCCCCCCCCCCCCCCCCCCCCCCCCCCCCCCCCCCCCCCCCCCCCCCCCCCCCCCCCCACCGCAGCCCCGCGCCTCCCCCTCATTGTCTTCCCGAGCGCGTCGGGCGATAAATTCCTGGCTGAAAATCGCTCCGGCAGCTACGTAAGCAATCCGACTGGAGCTGCCGTCGTCTCGCACCGCCTGGCGCGCGTTAGGTCGAGAGCACCCCCCTCCTCCTCCTCCTCCTCCTAGCGCAGAAAGCCCCCCTGCTGACGTGCGTGGGGCTGCTACCCGCTACGAAGGCAAGTTGGGAAGGTACCAAATCTCAATATTCCCCCCACCCCGCCCGCCTCCGGAGCACCATGTCGCTTTCGCATTCCTCCCCCGGCCACCCCTCCAGCCCCGCTTCTGGGCTTTGGCGCCTTCCCTCTCCCTGGCTGTGAAAAGCGCAGCGCGCTTCGAGCAACAAGCCCCCTTTCCTCGCCGCCGACCTCAGGGAAGTCAGCCAGCGAACAGCCGGAGTGCCAGGACATGTAATTCGGACGAAGGTTGTTTTTCCCCATCCAGGTGGCCAACGTGGCTTCTTACCCCGTGCTCTTTCCAGCGAGCTTTTCCCTCGTCCGTTGCAAGCGGGAAGAGTTCCTTCCTTCCTTCCTTCCTTCCCGTGTGGTCTGGCGTCGTGAGGTTGACAATGCTGACGGAGAGATGCCTGGGATTGCTATACTGTGGCTTGTATCTCTGGGCGTCGTTGTTTCTCTCTTTTTTGCAAGGTAAGTTCTGGGCTGTTTGCGATGGCTGGGGCTATTTTAAAAAAACAACAACATCGCAGTGGGATCTTTTTTTTTTCTTTCCTGATTTCCTTGCCTTGTCTTGTAAAAGGACTTTATTCATTCCCACTGGAAATGAAGAGGGCAGGATGTCTTGGTTGAATGGGGGGGTCTATTAAAAATGGGAACTTGAACTCCAGACGGATATATACTGTTTTGATTTATTTATTTTTTTGTCCTGCATACGATGCAGGAGATGCGTGTGTGTGTGTGTGTGTGCGTTTGTGCGTGCATAAATTAGAAAAAAAAGCTTGGAGGGGGAGAGGTGATTTAACTACGGTACTGTAAAAAGTGCCACTTTTTCTTCTGTTTTGATAACTTCTTTTTTGCGAGCATACTTGTCAGCCATAAAAATGAGAGCCTGCAACCGGCAGGAAAAAAAATGCAGTGTGAACCGAATATGACACATATCCTCAGATATGACAAGATAAATATAGGATTGATTTAAGAGGCATCATGGGCTGGTTCATTAGGTTTAAAGTATATACACCTGAGAGACAGAGAATTATCTGTTTCAGTATTTGTCCTGTTATCTTTTACTGTCTTAAGGTATAAGTCAGGAATTAATTTAAAAGACAACATGAGTTCTGTTAGAGTGTGGAAAGAAGCTTGACTCACTCTAGTTGGCATACCTGTAGTATTGTTTACTTTTATACATTTGTCTCATGCCAGTGATCTGAGTAGGTTTTGGCTTAATTTTAGAAGATGGACCAGGGTGATGTGAATATAGTAGATACAATGAACCTGTATATGCAGTCTAGTACTTTATAGCTACAATATGATATGAAATTGTTAAAGGATGATGCAGTTCAGTTGACAAAAATCAAGAGAACAGAAATCCAGATAAACGTTTTTAAAAATGGGAAAAGACCCCAACAAATGTAATAGCAGAGCACTATATAACATTTTCAAGAGGTTTCTATCCTATATAGAGAGAAGGCAGTACAAAGAGTAAAATCCTATGGATCAAATCAACTTGATATGACTTTTATCAAAAGAAAAATCTGAATGAGTAACTGATATGTCTGGTCCTTAAATGAAGATACAAATTATCCTTTCTTATTTTTACCCTCTTCTTTATCTGTATACATTTCACTGTATACATGTTATACTTTGATAATAAAGGGATTATTATTATTATTATTATTATTATTATTATTATTATTATTATTATTATTATTATTATTATTATTATTATTATTATTATCATCTGTAAAATAAGCAAATGTTAATCTACCATAAAACATGTAAAATGCTTACTAGTATAAAGGACTATTTATCATACTAAATAGAATTTTAATATTCCTGTTCTTGTTCCTAAACCTGATTGACAAATGTTTTAATTATAAATACTTGAATATACCATATATGGCCTTATTTTAATTTTACTATCAAGCAGAGGATTTCCCCTATATACCCTCAAAATGATAAAAACAGACAAGAAAGAGTGCTTGACGGTTCAGAAGATTCCCTTCCAGTCTTGCCTCTTTCTTTAAAAAAAAAACCATTATGTTACATATAGTACCAATAATGCTAAACATGTAATTTACAAACCTTCTAGGACTCAGATGAACTTAACATTGCAATGCTATACATGTACACTTAGAAGTGTCTTTAAATGGGCAAGCCCAGAGAAGACTACAGTATATGTATAGGTTGGGGATGCAGTTTGTAATCTAACATATAACATACCAACTCCTTTACTATCTAGCAGCTTTGACTCTAAAAGTCTAAATATATGTGCAGAGATAGTTTTCTATGTTGGTTTACTTGATCGGCCTAGGATAGTCTTAGGATGGAGACCTTCTTTTATCTTGTTGGTGGATCTCCTATTGACAGACCAAAATGCTAGATATAGTGGAGAGTTCTTTTTTTTTCATAGAATGAGTGAACTGATTAGACTTAAAGTTTACCCCAAGAAGCTAAGCTGATTTCCACTGGAGTCCTTAGGCATGTAAAGTGCCTAAAGACTAGGCTAACTATTTGTATTCATGGCTCCATCTGGAGTTTTGGCCAGGTCTGCCTTTGCTCACTAAAACTAGTAAACCAGTTCTTCTTAAAGTTGGAGACCCTTGCTATAGTTACTGATGCCCTCATTAGCTTTTGATTGGATTACTGCAATGTGTTGCCCTTGAAGATAACTTTGAAACTGCAACTAGTTCAGAATGCAGGAACCCACATGCTGATGGTGAGAATCAGTCCACCTACTGTATATTGTGGACAACACACTGGCCTTGGTTAGATTAACAAGTACAATCCAAGGTCCTGCATTTAAAGCTCTACTTGGGCAAAGGGGAAACTACTCCTTCCATAGTGATTTTGGCTGGTTTGCTTCTGTTCTGCTCAGGAGTGAATACTATAGGTTATTTTAGGCCTGGTAGTAAAAGAAGACCAAGGTGCAAAACCATATTTCATTCCCTGGAATAAGTTTCTTTCTCTGAAATCTGGAGGGTTATATTTAACAACAACAACAACCCCCATGCTCTCTTTAAAAAAAAAACAAATCAAACTTGGTTTTTCAGATAAGGTTTTAATGACCAACATCTACCTCTTGCTTTTCACTTTTGCTGGTTGCATAATGATGTTTTAATTTTGAAACATACATATTTACATTGGATTGAGTGGGGTTTAGTAAATCTTATTGTTTGCTTTGAAAATCGCCAAGGATGTTTGTAATAGAATTCTTAATAGTATGTAACTTTTGAAAAATAAATATGTAAATAAATACTCTGGATTATTTGAAACATGTTAACATAATTAGTCTGGTTTTGAAATGAATTCTGTAATTCTAGATAACTATAGCATTCTTGAATGTGTGAATGGGGGAAAGGGGCATTGTATATCCCATAGCCTTTCTTCTTTTCATTCTTTGTGACTTTATAAAAGTAATTTATCAATAGGATCATGAGTGGGGAATATAGAGGTCATATCTTTTAGTTCTGTGGATCAAACATAGTGCTGCATACTTGGTTTCCTTTTCATGAGGTGAGTGGAAAAAATGGTTGCTCAATGCTGTCAACATCAACGGCTCTAGTCATTTGTTTGAGGCATATCCCTGACTTTAATAAGTTATTTCCCTTATAGTGGTTCAATCAATTGCATGTGGTCAGTGGAATACTACTTACAGGGATCTAAACAGCTGTATGAAAGCTTAGGTCCTGGGACTACATGTATATGATTGAACAGCCTATCATTTCTATAACCTATTCTGATAGAAATGAAGCAGTAATGTGTATTGGCTAGCATAAGTGTGCATTAAAACAGAAGTAAAAATCAATGGTCTTGTTGAGGTGTATTATAGATTTCCTATTTGGAATGGCGTAATATGCATTTTCTACCCCATTAGTAATGCTTCTTGGCCTGTCTCTGGTCTCATGCCTTTTTTTGGAACTTATATAGAAGCAAACTCTTTGCCAGGGTCAATGCCAGCACCTACAAAATTTGGGATTAGTGCCCATAAACAATTGAAGTGCCCACTGAACAGAGCTGAGGTTTTAACACTATTACCATGTTGATGTTTTTCTAAGCTCAGAAATGCAAAATGACAGAATAGAATAGAGTAGAGTAGAGTAGAGTAGAATGGAAGGGACCTTAGAGGTCTTCTAGTCCAGCCCCCTGCTCAAGCAGTAGAACCTATACCATCCCAGACAGATAATTCTCTAGTCCAGACATGTCAAACTTGTGACGTCACGTGATGTCGCGCAACGTATCGGAGCTTTTTCGCCATTGCCGGCAGTGGGGTGGGGGTGGTTTCCCAATGACGCATCCAGCCCACGGGCTGGCAGTTTGACACCCCTGCTCTAGTCTCTTCTTAAAAATCTCCAGTGATGGAGCACCCACAATTTCTGGAGGCAAGCTGTTCCACTGATTAATTGTCCTCACTGTTAGGAAGTTTCTCCTTAATTCCAGGTTTCTTCTCTCTTTGATCAGTTTCCAACCATTGTTTCTTGTCCTTCCCTCTGGTGCTCTGGTGAGCAATGTGACCCCTTCTTCCTTGTGGCAGCTCCTCAGATACTGGAATACTGCTATCATGTCTCCCCTATTTCTTCTTTTCTTTAGACTACTAGCCAAACCCAAGTCCCGCAGCCGTTCTTCGTATGTTTTAGTCACTAGGCATTTCATCATCTTAGTTGCTCTTCTCTGATTTTTTTCCAAACTCTCAACATCTTTTTTGTGATATGGTGACCAAAATTGGCTGCGGTATTCCAGGTGTGGTCTTACTAGGGTTTTATAAAGTGGTACTAATACTTTGTGTGATCTTGATTCTATGCCTCTGTTTATACAACCCAGGATTGTATTAGTTTTTTTGGTTGCTGCTGCACATTGCTGGCTCATAGTCAAGTGATCGTCCACTAGGACTCCAAAGTCCCTCTCACAGTTACTGGTTTTAAGCCAGGTCTCGCCCAATCTGTACTTATACCTTTGATTTTTCCTGTCTAAATGTAAGATTAAGTAGATTAAAAATTGCAAAGGAGATAGTGTAATATTTATTTCAGAGTAAAGTCTGTATGCAGTATCTATTATGCGACAATTAATATACGATATAAACAATTTAAATAAATAATAAAATACATATTTATAGGTAATATTAATTTGGCCAGGTGTTTAAAGGTTAGGTGAAAGTGAAAATCTCCATTAGAGTGGTTATCTTGGCACAATCCTAATAAGTTAGTTGCATAGTCCCCAACCTTTGCTTTTTAAGCTTCATGAATGGAATCCTGCATAGTGATTCTGTGACTTTTGCCACGTAACTTTACTGCATCTGAGCTGTCTGTTGGGAAGCAGCTCACTGCAGATCCTAGTTACACTGTTTTCAGTGGCAAATGGAACTCCTTATTTAACCAGTGCAACCGTGGGAAGCAAAAGGCAAAGAGATTAAGGAATAAATATATGGAAATAATCATAAATGGCTTGTCTGACACTTCTTCAAAGATGGAAACACT